GCTATTCACAATAGCCAAGACTTGGAAACAACTGAAATGCCCATCAGGAGATGACTGGATTAAGAAACTGGTACATTTATACAATGAAGTATTACTCTGCTATAAAGAAGAATGAAATCGTACCATTTGGGATGATATGGATGGACTTAGAGACTATTATCTTAAGTGAAATAAGTCAGTCGGAGAAAGACAAATACCATATGATTTCACTTATATGTGGAATCTACAAAACTGAATGAACGAGCAAAGTAAACAGAAGTGGTCTCAGAGATATAGAGGAACAACTACTGATGGCTGTTAGTTGGGAGGGGGTGGGGATGAGGGAGAAGGCGAAGGGGTTAGACAGCATAAATACGTAACTATGATATTGCCACAGGGACATGAAAGACGGTTCGAGGAATATAATTAATAATGTTGTAAATATTTTGTAAGGTGTCAGATGGTCACATGTCTTGCTAGGGAGACCGCATCATGGATGGGGTAGAGGCTTGATCACTGCACTGTACACCTGAAGCTGATAGTGTATAATATTGTATGTCAACTATAAGTGAATATATATATATGGTCATGGGACATGGAGTATAGTGTTGGAGTGTGGAGTCAAGGGAATTATAATAGAGATGTATGATGTATGATATTGCGGAGGAAGTGGGGCAGCGGATTGGGGGAGGATGGTTGTCACCTCAAGGGGTAAAAAGTATAAGTATTGCACTGTGTTGTACAGCTGAAACGAATTATAAAAAATGTGTATTTCATAATAAAAAATAATTAAAAGAAAAAAGTATGAATAATAAAATGGAAATAATTACATGTCAACAATTACTTTAAATATAAATGGATTAAATGCTCCAATCAAAGGACAGGGTGGCTGGATAAGAAAACAAGACCCTGATATGTACTGCCTACTAAAAACTCACTTCAGATTGAAAGACACATGTAGACTGAAAGGGATGGAAAAAGATATTTAATGAAAATGGAAACAACCCAAAAGAAGCAGGGGTAGCAACACTTTGATACCAGAAAAAATAGACTTTAAAACAAAGGTTATAAGAAGAGACAAAGAAGGACCCAGCAATCCCACTTCTGGGAATTTATCTGAAGAAACCCAAAATGCTACTTTGAGGGGATGTTTGCATCTTTATGTTCACTGCATTATTTACAACGGCCAAAATGTAGAGGCAGCCGTTGATGGATGAATGGATAAAGAGGAGGTGGTACATACATACAATAGAAGAGCACTCAGCCAGAGAAGGGAATGGGTTTTTTTAAAAAAGATTTTATAGGGGAATTGGGGGAGGGGAACAGACAAGCTGCTGTACTTTTGTTCTTCAGTCTAGTTGTGGAGGATGTTGCTTCACTGGCTCCTGGCTCATGTTGGTATTATCATTGCGCTCTTCCTGGGTGAGGCAGATCGGTCGCCGGCCCCTGGACAGCCGCTCACGCCGGCTGCAGGTTGCTTATGGCAACCCACTGCCGCTCCACTGCAGCCTACACCATCGGTGGTGACTCAGGGCAGCCCAGCTCCAGGTTGAGCCGTTGTTCAGCATCTTAGCTGTGGAGGGCAGTGTGTCACTGACCCTCATGGGTGGGATCCGAACTGGGGCCCTTTGGCCTCCCAAGCCAGCTCTTAACCAACGCGCCACTTGGGCGGACCCCGTCATTACTCTTGAGGAGCTGAACTTACTACTTCCTCTGGCAGAAAATTCCTGTTACCTTTCTACAAAACCAAAGTCCTGTCCTCCTTAAACTTTCTTCTTAAGTCTTTGCAAATGAAGGCCACATGCTTATAGTCAACCCAATTATTCCAGCTATCTCCTTTCATTTATACAAATGTATACACATTTTGAGGAAGGAAAAAACTATATTAAAATTGCAATATGAGTACTCAATATATACCGATGACAAAAGATGAATACAAGTCATGTGTATACATTTTTTTTGGCACTCCCGGTATTTATTCATTCTACAACTCTAATGTTTTGGCCCTCTATTTATAGACGCTATCACTATAAGGCCCCTATTATAATGAAGCAACTTCTCATGGTGTTATGCATTACTAAAGTTATTATGGAGATATGTAATTAATGCTCTGCTTCTGTTCAAAGACTAATAAATGCTACTGATTGTTGAGTCAGACTTGGAAATCCTAGTCTCCAAAAATCTTATAATTTCAGACTGGACTTCAAACAGTTTTATCCTGTAAATGGGCACACATTATATACCTAAATAAATGAGCTTGATTATAACTACTGACCTATCCTAGTCTGGCATAATCTGCCAGTAGTCTGAGTGAATTGGTGAACATGGTATATGACTTTATATTTATAAATGTATGATTAGCCACTCCAAGTCTCTCCCTAAGAAGCACACAGATAACCATAATAGTATTCATTTCCTAAGTCAAAGGTGCAAACATGCAAATACCTGAGGGTAGGCTGTGGAACAGCATCTGGACTTGCTGGTACCTGGACTCCTTTTTCCCATTCTTCTTTCCATGTATCCGAAAAGAAGTAATAGCTGTCAGGATTAATGTAATGAGAATCTGAAATTTTCATGGCACTGATGAGGTCCTTTCGGAATACCTGGGAAGACAATGCACATACGTTGAGATGACCATCACTAAGTAACTAACACCACTTAATATTCTTTTAAAAAGACCATCCCTACCCACTCTACACTTCAACAAGACAGACATCTCTAACTTCCTAAATGGCCAGGTTACCTTCTTCTATTTGGAAGGGGACTGAAGTACTGACAGAGAAGCCAGTTTGTTCTAGATCTAATAAAGAGTAAAGGGGGGGGGTCAGCTTACTGACTCAGTTGGTTAAGAGCACAAGCTCTGAGCAACAGGGTCACCAGTTTGATTCCCACAGGCCAGTGAGCTGTGCCCCAGCTGAGCTGCCAACAGGTGGCAGGCTGGCTCAGCTGGTGAAAGCACATGTTCCTAAACATGAGTTTCTGGTTCAAGTCCCGCATGGGATGGTAGGCTATGCACCCTCGCAACTAAGATTGAACATGGCACCTTGAGCTCAGCTGCCCTGAGCTGCCCACGGGTGGCCAGATGGAGACTGGACTTGGAGTTGAGCTAGCTGTGTCCTCCACAACTAATATTGAAAGACAACAACTTGGCTGTTCTCCCTCCCCAATTCCCCAATAAAATCTTAAAAAAAAAAAAGAGTAAAGGGGTCCTTTCTGAATTATTTTCTTAGGATCCTTGAATTTAAACTAACAATATAGGTTACTCTAAAACAGTTTGCATAAAACAAACAATCCTTAACTCTCTCAAATTAAGTAAAAATATCCTGATAACTTATAATTGCTTATTTAGCCATTACTTTATTTTTTGAATTATTTACTCAGAAATAATTTTAGACTTACAGAAAAGTTACAAAAATAGTACAAAGCTCCCACATACCCTTCACAGTTTTCTCTGTTAACATTGTGCATAACCAGAGTACAATTGCCTAAACCAGAAAATCATCATTGCTAGAGTACTATTAATTAATCTACAGGCCTTATTCAAATTTTACTGATTTCCCCTCTAGTGTTCCTCTGTTCCAAAATTCAATCCAGGATCCCACATTGCAATTAGTTGTCATGTCTCCTTAGCATCCTCCAATTTGTGAGTTTCTCAGTCTTTCATTGCCTTTCAAGACCTTGCCACTTTTGAAGAGTACTAGCCATGTATTTGACAGAATTTGGGTGTGATGCTTTCTTATGATTAGACTGAGTTTTGGCAAGAACACCACAGAAATGATGCTGTGCCTTTCTCATTCCATTCTGTCAGGGATATATGGTGCCAGTGTCTTATTAGTAGTGATGTTAAACTTGATCACTTGGTTAAGGTAGTGTCTTGCTTGTTTTCTTCACTGTTGGGTTGCTGTATTTCCCTTTGTGATTAATAAATATCTTAGAGGAGCTACTCTGAGATTATAAAAATATCCTGTTTCTCCTCAAACTGGCATGGACTAATTTTAGTATCCACTGGTAAGATATCTTGCCTACAACAATTATTCCTGTGGTGTTCTAATGGTGATTTTTTATTTCCCTCAGTCCTACATTTATTAATTCAAATTCCTCTGTAAGAAAGCCCTGTCCTTTCTCCCCTATTTATCTATTTATATCATTATAGACTTGTGAATATCATTTTATTCTTTGGGTTATAATTTAGTATTATTATTTTGTTGCTGAAATTGTCCCACCTTTGGTCATTTGGAGCGCTTTCAGGTTGGCTGGTGCCTGCGCTCTTTTAATACATCCCATACTTTTTGGAGTATTTCCTTAATTCCTTATATTACAACATGTCCCGGGCATGTTTATATCCTCTAACTGGTTTTAAAAGCTATTGATTATATATGTTAACTTCACATCCTGCTACCTTATTTAGTGCTTTTATTGCTCGAGTTAGTTTTTTTTTAATTAAAGTTTATTGGGGTGACAACGGTTAGTAAAGTTACATAGGTTTCAGGTGTACAATTCTGTAATACATCATCTATGTATCACATTGTGTGTTCACCACCCAGAGTCAGTTCTCTTTCCATCACCATATATTTGATCCCCTTTACCCTCATCTACCAGCCCCTTCACCCCTTACTCTCTGGTAACCACTAAACTATTATCTGTTAGATTTATCATTGATTTTCCTATGGTTTTCCAGATATACTATCATATCATCTGCAAATAGAGAGGGTTTTGCATCTTCTTTACCTAGTCTTAGGTCTCTTAATTGGTTTCTCTTGTTTAATTGCATTGGCTAATACCTATACTAATATTTGGAATAGTAACGGGGATAGCGAGCCTATCTGCTTTTTTCCTGAAATTAGTGGAAAAGACTCTAGTGTTTCCCCATTAAATAATATACTAGGTTGAAGACTATGGTATATATACTTTATAATGTTAAAAAAGTATCTTAAAGTTTCTATTTTCTTGAATGTTTTAAATATAATGCCTGGGTACTGAATTTTGTTAAAGGCTTCTTCAGTGTATATGGAAATAATTATATAAGTTTTTCCTTAGATATATTAATATGATGTATGATAATATTAGATTTCTTAATACTGAGACAAACTTGCATTTCCAGAACGAATGTCATTTGGTCATTTATTATTTTTTTAATATGGTATTATATTGTTTTCTTTTTCTTTTTTTTTTTAAATTTATCGGGGTGACAATAGTTAGTAAAGTAACATAGGTTTCACGTGTACAATTCTGTAATACATCATCTGTATATCACATTGTGTGTTCACCACCCACAGTCCGTTCTCCTTCCATCACCATATATTTAATCCCTTTTACCCTCATCTACCACCCACCTGCCCTCTTACCCTCTGGTAACCACTAAACCATTGTCTGTGTCTATGAGTTTTTGTTACTGTCTTGTTCCTTTCAGTTTTATATCCCACATATCAGTGAAATCAGGTTCTCGACTTTTCCTGTCTTATTTTACTTAGCACAATAATCTCAAGATCCATCCATGTTGTTGCAAATGGCACTATTACATCTTTTCTTATGGCAGAATAGTATTCTGTTTTTTAATATTTCATTTAATATTTTTGTATTATATCCATGAGTGATATTTATCTGCAGTTTTCTTTCCTATTATTTTGGTTTTATTTTTAACGTTTAGGTATCAGGGTTATGTATGCTTCATAAAAAAAATAGAGGACATTTTCCTTCTGTTGCAATGCTCTAGAATAATCTGAGAACCATGGTCCCTATGAAACCATCTGCATTTGGTTCTTTGTGTGTGTGTGTGTGGGGGGGGGGGACAGTTCCTTAATAATTTTCTCCACTTCTTTTTTTAGAAATTTAGCTCTTTAAGCTTTCTGCCTCAAATGGGATTAATTTTGGTAATCTGTATTTCCATAGGAAGTTATCTATCTTGTCAGGTTTTCAAATTTATTTGTATGGGGGCTTGCAAAGTATAGGCAGTTCCACTTTACACAGCACTGTGGGGCCATAAAAATGACAGTGCACGTAGTAGCTGTGAAAAGTGATCTTAAAAATTAATGGGAAAATTATGATATTTTATACCTTTAAACATTTTGGTCAAAATATTAGAAAGTCTTTTATTGTTATAAATATATAATGAAAAAATAGAACTACTGTACTATATTTAGTATATTGTAATTAAACATTAGAAACATTGGGAAGTAAAATTTTTTGTAGAAAAATTTATCAGGAGTAGGTATTAATAGAACAATGCTTGCCTTCTTTTTTTCATCATATAACTTAAGATATGGAGCAAGCATCTGAGCTGGAATGTTTTCATTATCATTATCTTTAAAAAAAAAAACTATAAGTTCAGTTTGAATTTCCCCTTTTCACCAGAGAGTTGTTAAATAGATTTTAAAATTTCCATAGGGAAGGACTTTTCTGTTTTTGTTAATTTCTGATTTTATTGCATTGTGGTCAGTGTTGTTCATACTATTTCTACTTAATGGAAATGAGTGATGCTTCCTTTGTGACTTAATATTCATATTTTGTGGATGTACCATAGGCATTTGAGGTGTATTCTCTATTATCTCTAATATGAAGCTGCAGAATTTCATATACATTCATCAAGATGTACCTTATTGCTTATGTAGTTTAGACCTTCTATCTCCTCACTTATTTTTTTTGTTCACTTAATCTGCCTGATATGGAAAGAGGTGTTTGAAAATCTCCAATGATTAGTGTGTTTTTATACATGTCTCCTTGCATCTTCTATAGTTTTTGCTCCATAAAGTGGTTGCTGTGTTAGTCAATGTATAACTATTCCCAAGTATTGTATCTTTATGGTGAACTGCAGCTTTTAGCATTAAAGTCTCCTTTTGGGGGGCTTGATTTCTACTTTGTATGATATCCATATCACTACTCCTGCTACTTTTGTTTCCATTTTCCTGGTATACCTTTGCCCATCTCTTTATTTTTACCCTTTCTGAATAGGTGTTTTAGGTATGCTCTTATATACAGCATATAATTGGGTCTTGCTTTGTGAGCCAAAAATACTTTTCTTTAACAGATGTTAAACCCATTCATATTTATTGGCATGACTCACATATTTGGTCTCAACTCTCATATTTTATAATTATGTATATTATATTTCCTATGCTTCTTTCTTTCTCTACCAGATGTGTATTCTTTGCTCTTTTAATTGCAATTTTTTTATATTTAAGGTTTGCAGTTTTATTCTAGTTATCTTTGTACTTAGATATTTTAAAAATTTCCTTAGTTTTCTTTTCTTTTTTCTTTCTTATATATGTATTTTCATTTTTAAAATTTTTACTATCTGATTTATTCATTTTTATTGCTTTCAGTGAACTCCTCATGGATGAAGCGGAAAGGACTGATATGTTTACTGTGGCAACCAAGAGGCTCCCAAGTGCGAGCCTTAACCCTACTCCTGGCCAGGGAGCCCAAGCTATATGGAAAGTTCAGAGGCCAGAGGTAGGGGATGATGATACGGGTACAATTACAACTTGGACTTGTGGAAATGAAGAGATCCCCCACAGTTCATTTTATGCACTCTAAGCACAATTAGGTACTAACAATATGGGAATGGGGATCCATCTAAAGTTTGTACTATTATCCTCTGGTTGAA